TAACGTGTATCAATCATTTTCAATTTTCAAGTAAAATCCATAGACACAATAATTTCTATTAATCAATGTAATGTTAACAGGTTTTTATGAATATTTAGGCAACGTAACATGCCAGGTAATAAATATTGAAAGGAAGAGGTATGAAATGATATAAAGTTTACAGCTGATCGATCAGCAAGTAATAACTAATATCGTGTTTTCATAAATATTATTTAGTGATGAATTCGATCAACCAAATTAGAATATGGTCATTAGTCCACGGTATCCAATATTGTGTGTATTGAGTTGACACGTTAGTCGGCAGTAAACACTTGACTAATGTTTCACGCTGGTTAGTACTCACCAGCAAGGTGTGCCGTATCATTTAAAGGACTGATGTTCCCTGTGAGATTTGAGATAGCCTCACCTCGTCTCATATATGAGTGTTCAATAAAGATATTTTGGAAAATAAACATTTTTTTCTGACATTGTGAATAAAATGACAAAAGATTATGAGTTAAAATTTAGGATAATTTTTTCGATAAATAAAATAATTGACCTTATTTTGTTACTTCGATTCATGTGAATTCATTTATTTAACATTCACGCATATTGTCTTGTGAAATATGAAATTACTTACAATAGGATTGGGAAAATAAAATAACTATGAACATAAGATGAAAATAACAAAAAAATTCTCTTGTCGATCAATAACTGGAACAATTAAGAAATATTTAGTATGTAGACCAAAAAATTAATGAAAATTATCAAATAACAGTGACCTTTTTTATCAACTGAAGGATTATTATCAGTGGTAGTGTTCTGATCTATTCATTTTTATAAACTATATTATCAGTATTATATAGTTTTTGGAAAAAAATTAAAATTGAAAAAATTATTTCAAAAGATTACAATATCATTCCTTTATATGATAAAACTTGATGCTACAGTAGTAAACAAAACGATCGTTAACATATAAATATGATATATGTAAAGAATATTGTTTAAATTAATATAGAACGCATAAAATGCGGCATCACGTATTCAATAATTGGAATTATCAAAGATTAGGAACTGATTCATATTATCTCAAATAAAGTGTTATAAATTAAGATACAGACGTAGTAACCAATAAAAAAGCACTCGATAAGTGATTAACACAATTTAACTCATCAAAACAGGAATTCTATCTGCTATCTATATGTAAACGTTTCTTTCTTGACTACTTTAGAATAAACTGAGTTGCTGAAGTACTATTGACAAGCACAGTTATGAGAGTATCTAATTCAATGATGCACTTTTATGAATCATAAAAGGATTAAAATAGAAATTCGCAGTTAGCAAACAATGCAGAATATACATTGACTGGTTACTGACTCATAATCAATGTCATGCATGACTTGCTCTCTAGTGATGACCGAATTTCAGCGACTAATAATACAGGGTTATGGAGATTGTTCAGTTTCATCAAGATCATAAATTGATCAGTGTTGGACAACCATTGGAAACCTGGACGACCGATTTGTCCTAATATGGAACTTCTCAGAAGTGCGCATTCACAATCCTGATGGTTCAGCAGCGTACTATCTACAACTGTAAACTGACAGGACGATCGGTTGTTTGCATAGCATGCGGTTTATTTTTACTACCCAAGACTTTTATCAGATTTGTATCAAGAAATGAAAAACTTTCCAATTGATTTATCTGTCTTCATTGTGATATGGATATATAGCACTGATATTTATTTTAAGGGCTATGACTAGTCCCACTAGTAAGATAATAGTAAGGTCTTATTTTGTACAAGTAAGTATATTGGAAAACAGACTAAAAATGACGCATTCGAAGATGCATCAAGGGTGATTGTGGAAGAATTTGTGAATACTGAAATTCAGAAACGAGTTTAGATATTGACTAAATGTATATTTTTTTAAAACAAAGTATCACAAAATGACGACATCTAGGATTAATCTCAACTAAGTACCTGGCTAGAAACTACCTATAAATAATATGAGAAATATATAAGTTGAAAAACAATGTATTACGTGCATCGGTATATTTGTTATATACACTTAAATGATAGGAGTTATTACTCCCTTTTCAATTATATAGATTTATAATACTATAATCCGGGATGGTTGGAGGTAGTCAGCAGGAAACCTTGAGTTTAGGTTGAGTGTTAGTTAGCGCTTATCAGTAAAGCGTACCTACGATCTTCAGGAAATTGATGTTCCATGTAAGATTAGGATTTGTTTCGCTCGACTTCACAGTTCATAGTATTACTGCTAATCTATTCAGATTGCAACTGATAATACATAACTTTGATTATATAATGATTACATGACTTTTGATCTAATGAATGTCAGTTAGCTTTAAGTGTTATTAGTGAAATAAGCGTTCTAAATTACTATTCAAAAGTTTATTACTTCTCTTTCATAAACTACTAAGCCCATTCTAGGACAATTGTCATATAATTACTTCAAGAAACAGTACAATGAATTTACATCTTAAAAAAATCAAACCTTTGTATGGTAAGATATAAAATATAAAAATAGAACAGGACTTTGAAATTCTATGATAAAACATTTCTAGGAAGTAGTAAAAACAACCAAAATAGATATTCCATTTACACATGCCCTCGTCTTACATTATATTTTTTCTTGTTTAGTTTTTTTGTCACAAAAACCAAAAACATCACATGCATACCAATTAAAAGGTAGTTTAGATAGATTTTTATTTTCCTTTAGAAAAACCAATGATGATTTAATAGAAATCTATAAAACCGTCAGCTGATGAAAGAAATAAAAAAAGGAGGCATAGAAAGATTTCAATAATTTAGCTCAGAAATTTATATCCACAAGTACTGTAATGAATATTTATCTTTAAATGGTAGAGATTAAAGTGTTTCAATGACAGAGATATAATCAAACAATATTAAGTGCAATAGTTATCTACACTATGTTGGTAAACATGATTTCATATCGGAAAATTATTTAACCTGATCCTATTCAATAGAACAATAAAATTTTGAATTGTAAAACAAAAGGAAATTATTCATGTGTTCAGTAATTTTGATCAGATCTATTATACAAACAGTTTTAACGTTGTGTAATATAATATACATTGTGTGAAAAACATTTTCAGTTATTCCAATACAAAATTATTCCTTTTTCTCATTATATAATTCGAACAAATAATACAATTACAAACACATTTTCATTACAATTATGAGATGTGTAAGTAACGGTAACATTAGTCTATGTTGTGGTAGCAGTAGTGTGGTGTGTGCTACTGATGTCGACAGATATGAGTAGTATGTATCACCAATTGAAAGTGGAGTGCCTGGTGGTAGAAGGTTGAGAGAATCGAAGAGAAGAGAACGAGAACAGAGTGACTGGTATGAAAACGGAGGAACACCAAAGTCTGAGACAATTGATGGATATTTTGCAAATGATGTATTACTATATGGGTCTCCGATTTTATCAAGATATTCTGTGGTGTTGTATTAAAATATATTTGGTTGTCCCCACTTTTTTTCTCGTTCACTACAGTAGCAAGAGTAGTGACAGTAGTAGGATTAGTATTATTAGTAGTAATAGTATAAATCCAAAGCTTTTAAATGTTTAATCAAAAACACTTAACAGAATATTGAGAATACTATCTTAAACCATTTAAAATCCACTAAGATATTTTGTGTTTATAGGAACAAGTACTGTGAGGAAGAGAAAGAAAATGCAGATGTCTTATGGTCAAGATAAAAATGAAAGGAACTGAGCTGGTAAAAATTAAAAAGGAAAAAATCAGAAAAATTTTAGAAAAAGTTGAATAAACAACCAACATCTCACTCTCTACTTCACACATTAGAGGTTATGCAGTGTTAGCTGATATACAATTGACATTCATATTGTAAACTTTCATTTATTTCGTCAATTAATTATTTAATTCTATTACATTACTGGTTATATCAATTTCACATGTTCCATATGACCATAATGTTGGATAACTAATAAAATGGTTAGCTCAGTTAACTTAAAGCTAATGTGATACTGAAGAATATTTGGAAAAAAATATTCATATAGAAGTCATCTAAATATTCAGTAATGTCATAATTATTTAGAATAGATGGATTGTGGTTAGCAATGGAATCCAGAATATGTCTCGTCCGCCTTCAGACTTGTCAACTGGATATACCTGCATCCCACAACTAATGTTCTCATTATGACCCGAACCCAGTACCCTAAGCTTTCAATGCTCAACACGTTATCCACTGAGCAGCTGAGCCCATATAGCCAATAACTTATTCGACAGACATGATGTTTATACCATCCCAAATAAGAATTTGAACTATCTCATTGTTGATATTCAAGACTAGATTTTGGTCATATGTTCATTTTCTGTAGATTGCTTAGAAATAGACATTTTTGTCGCAAGTTATTGAGAATAGACTGACTGTGATCAGCAGCGCAATCCAGAAGGTGTATTTATTTCTACCTCGAAATCATTCGCTAAGGTTACAATAATTTATGATCGTCTTTTAAAAAACTGAATGCAAATTCATTATGTGAAGTGAAGCCAGATATAGGATTATCAAACAATATAAAGCACCAAACAAAAGTCTGAAAACCCTTACGGGTACTGACCAACTTTAAAATCGAATAAAGAACAGTACACTTTTAAAACATTAAGTTATGAACTATAAGTTTCCACTTTTGCCTTTTACTTTATTTGTGATGGAGTTCAATCCTAATCTAATGCCATTCCAATCTTAAACGTGACTTGTTTGACCTAGCATATCACAGACTTCATCAAAAGAGTAGGTAATAATAAGTTTTTTTCTAAAATACTTAGTAAATTATAAAGTTTAACCGAAAATAGGTATTCGAAGCAGGTTTAATTTTGACTAATCTATTAACAAAATTCCCAAATAAGACGAAACACGAGTCCCGGATCAAATAGCCCTAACCAAATATCAAAAAATAATAAGTGAAGACAATAATATAACTTAAAACTGACAAATAACATACCTTAACAGAGCAAACAGCATTTGTATTTCGATGACAGCACTTATGTACAACTGAAAAAGAGCCTTTACCGATTTCCTCTAATAAAACATAATCGACTGAAAATGGTTTATATTTTACACCTGACAAGCCAACTAAGCGAAGAAAACGTCTTGCCACTGTAGGAGTTAAGGGTGGAAGATCTTCTGGAACATGTACTGGATTTGCACGATCTGTGTATTAAAGAAGAAATAAGAAAATGGTTATATGAATTGCAATCATAGCATTGTGTTACACTTCTCCATATGCGTGATAGTTGAAGTTCCTAAAACAATTATTCACGAAAATGGCGATATATTTTAAGAACCCGAGACAGTATTCTTCTCATAGAAAATATTTATTAAAGATAAATCATCTTCATCACAAGAAAAACTACGTTTGTCACATTCAATAATTGTTAGTGACTCTTATATTTTATAGTCTTCTCTTATACACATCTTTATCTGAGTGCTGTCAAGCAAGTAACGAAAACCTGTGTTAATCTGAACGCAAGATATAAAGTTTAGGCGAAAGAATTGTATAATATAGTGTTGCGAGCAGTATAAAACTTCCATTGACGACAAACTACAGATGATATTAATAATTATATGACTAGCACAACCATAATCAAAAATGTACAGGTGTTTCTAAATGCAAGATATTCGATATCCGTTGGCCGGATATCATTAGCAACAACATACTATGACAGAGAACAAACCCATATCCAGCCGAAGAGGAAATTAGGAAAAAACGCTGGAAGTGAATAGGACATACATTGAGGAAATCATCAAACTTCATCACGAGGTAAGTGTTAACATTAAGTTCTCAAGGCAAAAGTAACGGAGGCAGACCAAACAACACGTTGAGTCAGGAATCGAAGGCGGACTTCAAAAGAAAGAATAGCAACTGGAAACAAATGGGACGGAGAGCCCAGGAAGGAATCAATGGAAGAATCCTGGTTGTTAGTCTATGATTCACAAAGAGTAAGTAAATAAGTGTTGTTTTGTGAGCAATGTTGATTTTAAAGGGGTTGAAGATCCTTGTGATGGCTTTCTGAGATATTTCACGCATATGTTAGCACGATCTGTATCATGGCTTCGGAGATTGGTTTCTTGATGGTTTGTTTATTGGCCAGAGACCATTTGATGAGTTTTTTGGAGTAGAAATTCGGACAAAAGATCCACTGAAGATTAGTTTTTCCAATTTTTTGCGTAGTGAGGAAGCTGAAGTGCGTTTTAGTTTTTCTGAATAGTGTCTGAACACAACTTCATTTTGTGTGCTGTTAAATTGTTACTGCTGCGTATGTGTTCACATAGGTGTGAACGGAATTTTTAAAATTAAATATTGTATAGAAATTCTTTAGTGTTCTGCTACTAATAATAATATTTAATGAAAATAAATATAGAATATATTTACTAAGAACGAAATTACTGTGGTCAGCTATGTACATGAATACATATGTACGTAAATTCATTATGACAAGTCAGTAAAGATTAAGGAAACATGTATAAATATGCATATGAATCACACCATTACATATATCGATAAAAGTGTGATACTGAAAAGACGAGATGTAGCTAGATTTCTACCAATACACATACCATCATCGTGTCGAGAACTATAATTGAATTTTTCTTTCGGTGAACTCAAACAAGTGATATTTGTTCCATTCAATACTTCTTTATTAAGGTTAACATGGTTGTTGCAATTATTTGTAGTTGTGGTATTATGATTATCATTATGCTCTGCAAAAAATCCAGGAGCTATATAACTGAATTCACGAAATAACGCATGCGCTGATGCACTGGCTGGTGGACATGGCGAGTCTGTAAGTTGAAAGCATTTGAAAAAAAAACGTCAAGAAATTCTGCTTACGTAGAAATACTTAGTGAGCAAGATAACTAATAATGTATACAACATCGCACAAACGCAAGGATAAATAAATAATGAAGAATAAAATATTTAAGATTTTGCAAAAAATAAATACTGAGTGTATCTGTTATTGTGATCGAATGAAGGTTACAACTTAACTACACTAGATCAGTTAGATGACATCTAAACAAGAGATTAATCCATAAAGGAGTGGAAACAAAATATTTAGTTTTCTACAATGTTTGACAGTAGTGGTGTTAAATACTATTTCTAACTGTTATTGATCTTCATCATTAATTCAAATGACAATGCTTCATCTGTTGTAACATGACTGAGTGAAGTTGAAAAAAGTATGTCTAGAAACATAATATACTTGTTGCCAACTCCTTACAAGAACATCGAGTACCATAAAATCTACGAGACCATGTAATTTTAATTTGTATACATGCAGTAAATAATCTAACAAAAAAAGTGAACCAGAGCACAACACGATCTAGATTTAAAATCTGTTCAGTAAACATTAAAAGCGTTTACAAAACTTATCAAAAATGCACAACTATAGTCTCCAATACAACAGGAATAAGCATAACACTTAACTACGAAATACCTTTTGCTGTATTTAAAAAAGTTCACATTTTCAACTTTAATCGATTTGAAAAGTTACTCTCAAATACTATCGAAGTTTATTATTGTAATTTGATAAATTGCCCAAACGTTTATTGCGTTATATATATATAATATTCACTTTTATTAACAACTCATTATAAGAAATTGTATCTCTGTTATAAACACTGTAGCAAATACCTACCATGTGGTGTACGTGATGTATATTCTGAATCGAAATTTAGGATGTCATTAATTGATGAGCAAGGAGGTTTAAATGGTGGTTGAATACAACCATTTAGTAAATCATCCCAATTGATTGTATTGAAAAATTCATGATTTTTTAAATGTTCAAATCCATCAGGTCCATATCCTAGCGTGGGAAAAAAACACAAAAATTGGTATACAGAAAAAAACTTCAAACGATAAACTTAACAACAAACACAATATTTGTTGGAAAGGCCTATGACACGGATTTATCAACCGGAATTGATATTTAAATAATTTATTTCATGGAATTAGGTTTTGTATAGATTATTATTATTATTATTATTATTATTATTATTATTAATGGCTTTATTCAATATTATATTTTGGTACAATATAGAATTCTCAGCACAGGGTATTTCAACAAGTTACTTACTGAACAACGAACAAAAAGGCAGTAGCGAATACATAAAGAAATATATAAAATAAAAATTTTAAAAAAAACCCAAAAGAAACTACAAACTTTTAAAATTAAAGACATGTTAAGAATGTAAGTTATTGACTAAGTTAATTCTAACAACCTGTTCGTCACAGAGTATATTTGCTAGGTAAGGTATTATAGAACTTTTATACTTTTCCTTGCGTGCAAGGATTTTAATGTAATTACGTCTCGTTCTACCAGAAGATATACAAGGAGAAAGATAAGAGTGAAGAGTGATGAATAAACGTGTAAACACTATGGTCATTATCTATTCAAAGTAAAGATAATCTTGATTAAAAAAACACTATAACTACCAAAACGAAAAACTGGACATAGAACATGCGATTTTCTGACTATAATAATAATAATAATAATAATAATAATAATAATAATAATAATAATAATAATAATAATAATAATAATAATAATAATAATAATAATAATAATAATAATAATAATAATAATAATAATAATAATAATAATAATAATAATAATAATAATAATAATAATAATAATAATAATAATAATAATAATAATAATAATAATAATAATAATAATAATAATAATAATAATAATAATAATAATAATAATAATAATAATAATAATAATAATAATAATAATAATAATAATAATAATAATAATAATAATAATAATAATAATAATAATAATAATAATAATAATAATAATAATAATAATAATAATAATAATAATAATAATAATAATAATAATAATAATAATAATAATAATAATAATAATAATAATAATAATAATAATAATAATAATAATAATAATAATAATAATAATAATAATAATAATAATAATAATAATAATAATAATAATAATAATAATAATAATAATAATAATAATAATAATAATAATAATAATAATAATAATAATAATAATAATAATAATAATAATAATAATAATAATAATAATAATAATAATAATAATAATAATAATAATAATAATAATAATAATAATAATAATAATAATAATAATAATAATAATAATAATAATAATAATAATAATAATAATAATAATAATAATAATAATAATAATAATAATAATAATAATAATAATAATAATAATAATAATAATAATAATAATAATAATAATAATAATAATAATAATAATAATAATAATAATAATAATAATAATAATAATAATAATAATAATAATAATAATAATAATAATAATAATAATAATAATAATAATAATAATAATAATAATAATAATAATAATAATAATAATAATAATAATAATAATAATAATAATAATAATAATAATAATAATAATAATAATAATAATAATAATAATAATAATAATAATAATAATAATAATAATATAATAATAATAATAATAATAATAATAATAATAATAATAATAATAATAATAATAATAATAATAATAATAATAATAATAATAATAATAATAATAATAATAATAATAATAATAATAATAATAATAATAATAATAATAATAATAATAATAATAATAATAATAATAATAATAATAATAATAATAATAATAATAATAATAATAATAATAATAATAATAATAATAATAATAATAATAATAATAATAATAATAATAATAATAATAATAATAATAATAATAATAATAATAATAATAATAATAATAATAATAATAATAATAATAATAATAATAATAATAATAATAATAATAATAATAATAATAATAATAATAATAATAATAATAATAATAATAATAATAATAATAATAATAATAATAATAATATAATAATAATAATAATAATAATAATAATAATAATAATAATAATAATAATAATAATAATAATAATAATAATAATAATAATAATAATAATAATAATAATAATAATAATAATAATAATAATAATAATAATAATAATAATAATAATAATAATAATAATAATAATAATAATAATAATAATAATAATAATAATAATAATAATAATAATAATAATAATAATAATAATAATAATAATAATAATAATAATAATAATAATAATAATAATAATAATAATAATAATAATAATAATAATAATAATAATAATAATAATAATAATAATAATAATAATAATAATAATAATAATAATAATAATAATAATAATAATAATAATAATAATAATAATAATAATAATAATAGAAGTCTCAGGACGGCTCACCGTCCAGCGTAATTGTTGATCAAGTGCACTGAATAGTTGTCTATGTTAGAACCAATCAAATTCACCAATGTATTCAGTCAATACAGCAAGTGTTACTAAGTTTGTTGACTAAGCACTGAGAAAACTCTTAAGAAGTTTATGAAGTGTTGAGAGTTCTGTATTGCCATTAGCACTGTTAATATCTTTACTACTCTCCAACCGATAAACTGAATAAAAAAACCACTTCTAATTGGATTAAATGTCTCAAAGATATCCCAGGAGTTTTCAAGAGTGATGCAGAGTCAAAATTAATATTGAAATCCTGTCTTTATGAAAACATGGAGCGTGTATAATTCCTTGTGCCTTCGAATAGTTGGTTCTCACAGTCCGAAGGATATTTAGGGCTAGGTCCCCTTTATGAAAGATTACTCTCCCCACTTACCGGACATGGCTACAATTAATTTCATTCCATTTTCAGAGCATAAAGTAGTCACTTAACGGTAAAACGAGGAAAACTTGAAGACAATAGAGCAGGAAACAACGACATACCCGAAGAGTCGGACTTCTAACAACTCACAGAAGTGTTTTGAGCAATGGAAAAAAATTGTACAAATGTATCCCAGAAAATAAGTAATATTTTGTATAAAAAACTATTGATATATCGTGAAATTTGTAAAAATAATATCCCCTCAGTTCGTGTATTTATTGAACAGACTGTATTTAATTCAAAATTAGGTAAGTGGTACCACAAAACATCTATACACTTTACTGTGTATAACTAAACAGCTTAAACTATAAATCTCTTAATATCCAGATAATTATTGATTGTTGGATTGTTAAATTCCTAACTGTTTGATTGGAAATGTATTGAGTACAGTTAATAAAACACTGTGAATTAAGTGACCATGACAATATAAAGGGTTTAGAAAGTATTGAAGCTATTTAACTGTTTCGGCAGCTAATGACAATATCATTGGTATCTATTTATTATCAATTAAACGAAAATCATACAATAATCCAATTGTACTGATAAAATTAAGAATAAATACAAAAAATGCAACAATTTCTTCATAATTATCATAATTTTAATGATTATATCTAAATTCAGTAGTGTCTAATATTGAATGTATCATTTGAAGTCCAAAACATTTATCAGTTAAATTACATCTTATTCATGGAGGGCATTAATTTGGATTTAAATAAACTTGTATGTCTTTATGGGTTTTTTTCAAAAGAAAAAGCAAACCACTGAATTATTTGACATGAAAGTCATTCACTTTTAGCCTATACTGACTAGTGAAAGAAATGCAAATTGCTGCTTGTGTACAGCTCTCATGAATCTATTATGTAAGCAGTAGGTTTCATTGTTTTGTGTATATAAACAGGTAGACAAGCAGCTAGATAAGAAGAAACAGACAGCTTCAGTTTTCCAACTTAAGAAATCAAATTGTATCACATCTTTCTGCAATCCATATCACTACCAAGAATAATCGTAGAATATAATCAATGTAAATAAAACAACAGATACTACAATCGAAAATAAGGGATTATATAATATATATACGCATATGTCTCTTTAGTTAACTCGAAGTTACTGCTTTTTAAAGAATACATCCATTTGGTACAGGTATGGACAACCTTATCAGTATTCTTGTTACTTTTATTAATAATATTATTTTTATTGTTCAATCCCATCAGTTTCTCAAGCTTCCACGGTGTTTTTGGTTATAACTAGCTAACATGAAACAATAGAATAAAAAATGGGTCTAAACAGTTCTCCTCCACTCGGTGTTCTTGTTCTGTTTAATCGGCTTAGTATGTACATTCAATTAGGTAATTTCTACCATATTTAAATATCATCATTTTGTTTAGCTTGACATCATTTTAAGTGATCTGATCAAACAAATTTTCGAGCACTAGTCATGTCTACTGTGTAATAAATATTGTGCAGTTATAGATCTCCGGCTCGACCCCTTCAAAGGCTACTGCCGGTCCAATTCCCGGATAAGAGAGGAGGGTTAGGGATAGAGGTGCCAACCCTTGCAAAGAAAACGCTAACCGAAATAACCACTTAAACTCTGCTGTGGGAGTTTAGGATTCTTCGTATAGAAGGGTTATGATACCTCATGGTAAAAGCCGGGATTATTCAGAAGAGTTGGTTCAAGATCCTTTATCGGCGGCCTATGCCTCCAAGGGAGGTAACAGGCTTCAGCAAGTAAATGGTCGTATACAAAAACATATATATACCTGAAGATTCAAACAGAATTGTCATATGTAGAAAGTAATCATTCGAATAAATAAAAACGACAATCAACTAATGAGATAATTTAGTAAGTATAAAATCTGTTAGATAAATAATTCAGTAACAGCTTTCTTCTTACCTAGCCGATTCGATGGAGTTCGTTTGAAAAGAGCACGTAGTAAACTTTGAGCTGAAGGACTAAGAAACTGTGGCATTGATAATTTAGCTCTAAAAAACAAAACAAAATCAAGTTTAGTAAACAAAATGGTCATACAAAATAAAATATTTATTTTGCAATTAGTTTATCAAGCTATTTAATAAGCTTGTTTTTTGCAACAAAATTAACTCGTGATAACGTTGTATGTTCATTATCGTTTCATGATAGTTTATAAAAAATAAAGAGATCTGCAACATCAAGTAAATTAGTGGAAATTCTTTCTAACTTCTTTCCGTTCACTTAAATCAAACAGATTTCAATGCCAAATTGACTTGATTTATGTTTACAGGTATAGTAGAACAAAATAGTCTATTCATTCCATCTTGATTCGTATCCAATTAAAAACTAGTGTGTATAAAACACAATAAACTCTAGTCAAAATGTTCATCACTTCATAAGAAAACTAATCGCAGTTTGAATAAGCTATTTAGTTAAAACAGAGTAAATATCCGAAATCATAAACTAGAGGCTATTTTTAGAGCATTTCAATAGTATTACGAAGTGAAAGTTAACAATCAACAGAGAAATTAGCTTTCAAATGTAACCGAATGAAACCCAATATAAATTGATGAGAAAAAACAATTTGTCTTAAAATTTAATGTAATATGACACAATGCATACTGATAATGTCACTGCAAGATACATAATCTTTTGATATACAACATAAATGTCTATTTTACCGGTTATTGAAACTAAAAAAATTATGTGTTTTTAATAAGTTTAGACTAACAGCTTGAGGATTTTTGGTTTGATTTCAAAAATAACATGCTACATTCAAGAGTAGAACAATTCTTATCAATCTAATTATATTTTAACAGTTGAATTCACGAGCCAATCTAAGCTAGACCACCATTGAAAACCTGTAAGTACTGGACGGCCATTTTGTCCTAGTATGACAATTCTCAGCAGTGTGCATCCACGATCCTGAACACGAGACTTGAACCCAGAGTCTTCAGTCTCAAATTATAACCATTTCATTGTAATATTTTCCAATACATATTTGAGAGATATTTCTCAGGAAAATTGAAAAACCAAAAGCTAACACTTGAACAAGTCAATAAAATCAATTAATATGCACACTTTAGTTATTTACATTCAAACAACTATACATTGAAATATTCTACAATTTTTTTTCTAATTATGTACTGAATAAAAAAACACAGAATACCCAGTTGTACAAAAGAAAAATATCTTAACATATACTACACAATAAACAGTAAATAAGAAAAAGCTTAAAATTAAGGCATTGAAATGAACTCTTTAATTTAATTTAATTTAGCCTGTAAAAATTTTTTGTTTCTGACACAGAAATATTTTATTCTGAAAAAATTAAAAAAAACATTTTACATACTTTTAAATATTTTACAATTTTTTGTTATGTTTAATCTGTACAATACAACATTATTATTATGTTAGATAATATAATTTAGGAAAGTAAAAATCTAAGTTATATAGAAATTATACCTGGTAAAATAGATAAGTTATTTCCCTCTTAAAAGTGTGAAAGTGAACAAGGTACATTACGTGTGAGATTATCAGATGGTAACATCAACAATTACTAGTCGATGTACACACTGTGTTGTGATGAATTGAATACATGTTTATAAATATAAAGATAGAGTTGGTAGTGAACTTGCAAAAGCGATTAGTTTAGGATTGAGAAACTTTTTTTTCAATAAGAAGAGCAGTTTGTTTGAAACAATTAATCGTAATGAAGCTATCATGTGCTGTGCATAGCAACACACTTATAATGGCAGATAGAAGTGAATGTTGTTTTTGGTGGGGCCATCAAACGATGTGCTCTACAAAACAATAACTATATTTCACAGATAAGGAAGAGAAAAGACCATGTACCATAAATCTGAGTACAAAGCAAACAGTCAAATGAAAATATTCTGAAGCGAAATTTCAATTTTCGTGTAGGTTCATTCAAAGGCATAATTTATGTAAACATCAAGAAAATAAACCTATTTTGTGGTAACCATTTGGTTTAGATTACAAAATCCATTTTTCATCAGTATTTTAAGTAATTCTTAGAACATCAATCTTAAGAATTGGATACCGAGATAAATTTTAACTACACACATTTATTCTTACGTACAAAGGATCATTTCATAATCTGACCATGTATCAAGTTATTGCAGTTAATCTTATGATCCACGAAAAATGTCAAACTAAAAGTCACTCTCATGAAAGCAATTACTACGGAAGAACGACAATTTATACAATATAAAACTGGTAACTTATCCCCCACATATTTGAAGTATAACAGCATTGTACACTTGTACATTAAAACACATAAATACGTTGTCACATCGTTACATACAATCAGTTTAGAATTATCGTGTAATTATTCAGCGGTACAACTATTCTCCTGTCGCGCTTGATTTCTAACAATTCAATTTCTATGAGAATGCTATTTCCTATATTGTAAAAAAGCTACATTTCAATAGTGATTTGGAAATACTACAATCATAAACGTCTTTAGTTAATTTTTTTGCAAACCATGTGTGGTATACAATATTGTCTCCGTGTCAGTAAGTTAACTATACATGACGTCGAACTTGAAACATATGTATATCGGTTCAAGTTGTCATGCCACACTAGCACAGTGAGATGAAATTGTCTAAACGAAACCAAGAGTAGTAGAAGTATGAAAGATATCAGTAGTTGTAGAAGAGATTAGGTATTTTCCGATAAAAACATTCACTATAATACTAGACACTTCATTCAAGTCTCAGTGATACACATCACTTAACAAACAAATGAGAGAAAAATCTTAGACAAAAAATACTACTTTTCATCAAACTCATATAAGAACAATATCTATACTGAATCGTTAATTATTAATAAGGATTTTGATGTTACAGTTGTATATTAATTTATATGAAAATGAAGGAATAAACAAAGTCTCCTCTCCATGTCAAAAAGTAAAAAAGCAGACCAATGGTTTAATATTAACTATAATCATTAAATCTATTGGTAGGATCATAAACATCTTTGATTAAATCTACCAATTCTTCAAGTGAAAAAAGCCTATTAACGGTTTACCGTTATCTCAAATTGCTAACCATTTATCTGAATGATCTATGTTCCATCTGTTAAATTGATATCACTGTACTAATTTGCAGTAAAGAAATGTAATTAAAGATTCTGCTTTACTTGATTATACACAACTTTAAAGAAGCTGTCAACAGAAAGTCGACTGTTAGGTAGTTGGATGTAGTTGGCATGAAACTCATAAGCAGTAGGTAATTAGCTGCACCGATAGAAGGATTGTGGTAATGTCTCATACTGTGAAGTTGAGTGGGGTGAGTACGAATCCTACAGGGAGTATTAATGCCCTCAAGACTGCAGATATTTTTTATTAACAGGGTTTCCTCCTGATTACCTATAACTCCCTAAAATCAAAACACACTACACACGACACCGAGCACTTAGGATAGTGACCACACTGCAGCTTGATCACATGAATTAAAAACAGTAATGAAAGCTTGGTCAATATTCTTTGTAGTTTAAATCTACAGCCGAAATCGACTATAATACTCTTGTCAGTATTTAACCGATGCAATAATGTACGTCGTTTCACAAAAGAGTATCCAAGAAGAGCGCAAATTGTATTACAGATAATTTGTTGTGAGAGAAAAACTTATTAGGAATAAATGAGCAAACTTTTTATCTATAATTTGTCAGTCTATGTTGATTATTACATTGAAATTATTGGAATGATCATTTAAAATATATCTTAATATGATGAAAAAATTATCAATGTTATTTTATTATAATGTATATACATCTTGAATATTTAGTCATACTACATGACCAAGTTGGTTTTAGTTACATTAAATACAGAACTTTTCTAAGTTTATCAATTTAAACCAATTATTAGTAAATTAGCCTGGAAAAACGTCAACATTTTCAATAATTCTAACAATTCAACATAATTATTCTGCCAAGTTAGGGGTATACTAAAAAAGTCAGGTATTCACTACAAACCTACAGCCTGATACACATGTACATTGAACTAAGTAGTCATTACCAATGTAAGACGTTGAACAATGACTCGCATAAATTTACTAATATTATTACATAAAGAAGCAATTTTTCATTAAGAATAATCCACTCAACACTTATTTACGAGCACAAGTAACAAATGTGAATGGTTATTATTTCAGAAGTTTGAGGTTTACCTTTCGAAAAAAACAGATTTTCAAACATATAAAAACGTTTTGCGTGGTACACAAATCTATTTAGTATTAGATATATACAGAAGATCAATTAATTAATTTTTATGTTTCTGGTGGAAATCGTTGAATTTATTTTGTACTTTGTGACTTTTTGTTTTTCTGTACATTGAATTTTCTCCTGTTTTATTCTAGATATCCTGTTTCATTTATTCTTACAGCTTTTTTTCCCGATTATCTGCTACTAATATCAATGACAATTAATCTTCAATTCACTGTTTGTGTAAAACAAAACACAATGCGTAAATGTCACAGGCCTTGTTTTGTAATCTCTTTGGAAAAAACAAACCTCTCTACATGACCATTTCAATGCTTTCTCTTTAGCTGGGTTAGTTGGGAGTATTGATAACCACTGTTGACTGTATTTTCCAACTTATGTGTACTTTTTGTTTCGAAGTTTTATCTTGCATTATTTGTTAAATAGATAGCAAATGCAACTCATAATGTATTATAAATTATTGCGTGACATGTATATTACTATATTTCAGTAAGTATTGTTTACAAACGTAGACATAGACAATATGAACATATACATTATCTCCATTTTTAGAGCATTCGTTTCGAAACTCTGAACTAAAACTCATTCACATTACGTTTGAGACTGTATTTCGAGATGAATTAGTTTTTGATTTATTCATATGTGAATATTCACTTGCATGTGATCATACTTAACGATAAAACAAATCAGACTTACAAATACAAAAAAACATATTAAAATACATTTCCATTATGTGTATTATGTGATAGACTCCGCAATAATATTTTTAAAGCATTGAAACATATCCATTTTAAATAATTTACAAATGTATTTAGCAAACAAAGTATCAAAACAATGGACATTTCAGTAGCAGTAATAATTCACAAGAATTTCTATTAATAATATGTATTTAATTTTTAGTAGTTCACTGTCTACTTTGAAATGAACGGATAGTGATCTTGATGCCTAATTCATAAAAAGCAAAACACAGTCACGACTTATAGACAAAATTACAATGTGTGAATTATTTGCTAAATATCTTTTTCCACTAAATAAACTATAGAGTTCAAAAAAATATGCGCGGGGAATGAGGTTCTGGAATGAATGTTGAAATCGAGACGCATCTGATGATATGTAATTTAAACACAATATTAAATTTGAAGTTATTATTATAGCGATTACAAGTTCTAAAAACACAAACAACTGAGTCAGTTTTACGTGTTAGACTAACTGACTCGTGGAGAAGGTTAACCTCTAAATGATGGCGCCGGATAACATGACTGTGTATGATCAAATAAAGTATCGCAAATGCCTTAATAGCTACATCAACAGATGGAAACAAAGGATACAACAATCATTGAATATTTATTATCCTTCAACAAGTTTCCCCAAATTAATCATTAAAACGATTAATTTTACTACTTTAGTACGATACGTATTTACCAGTAGTACACACAGACTATGTACGTTGCACGCGTTTTTTTTATTTTCTGTTACAACAACTTTGTAACATTTCGTACTATAACTCAAACTGGAAAAGCTTAAAAACATAAAGTTCAGTTGCATTAATCAAATTTTCAAGTTATCAATATACTTTCGATGTCATGTTATCGGACTATGAGAAAAAAACAGTTTGGAACGAATAACTAATCAAAATTGTTTTAACGCTTATATAGATTTCATTGATTGAGGAAAATCTCTCAGAAAATAGCTGTTCTCCACCAAGACAATTATTTTCGATAAATTAGACAGAAAACAGTTGTATTTACTATCCCGATATATATATATATATATATATATATATATATATATATAAGAACAGGTCAAGATGATAAATAGTAAAAATCAGTGACTAAAAACCTACAAGCCAACACAAAATAAAATTCCTAATCAGATAATTAGAAAATATTATTCTCATAGACATTTAGTTTCGACAATGCAATCCTTTAATTAAGTTGTAAAAATAAAAACCTAACAATAAATTACTTCATAAGAACAATTTAAGGCTCATTCAGTTATTAAAATACAGATATCACAATATAAACCAGTTAACTTATGAAATAAGTCGTTGTTCACATGCTCTTAGTAAAAAATGTGTTTACTGTCATGTCTTCCTATTAATGCTAAAACGTGTGAAGATTTCAGGGTCAGTTGGCCGCTCATTCAAAGTAAATTCATATTGGCAATAGAAAATAACAATATACATATTTAGCTATCTTTATTTGTATGACGCAAATATATTTGGTGTCCGTTTGTACCAATATTTATGTGCTCAAATAAATAAAAATTAATTAATATCCTTGTTTGCACACAGCTAATGCGTTTTCTTCATTATCACCAACCATTGACTTTTTATTGAAAATACGTCACTATTAGTTTACTTACTTTAAAATCATTTGCATTGTATCTTTTCTACTCTCACTATGAAAAGGCAGCATACCAGTAAGTAATTCATACATAAGTACTCCGAAACTCCACCAATCAGCAGCGGTACCATGTCCATGTCTACTTACAACTTCTGGAGCCATATATTCAACTGTTCCACAAAATGAATACGTTCGGTCACCAGCAGATTCAAAAATTGACTCCTTTGATAGGCCAAAATCAGTTAAACGTACATGACCATCTTCATTCAGTAGAACACTTTATCAATTTGTTGAAAAAAGTACAAAAAAGTCCTAGTTCATTAATCAATATGAAATCACCAGGAGAACTATCATAAACAGAAAGGAATCAATCGCATTAATTTAGTCTATATTTATGAAATGAGTAAAATAAAATCAAGAGATTTACAGTATATTTTAAAGCTTTTAATATTCATTAATCCACAGACGTACTGCTCCCTGAAGGGAGCGATTACGATAGCTTTCGTTATACCTAAATCTGAAGTTGATATATTCATAGATTGCAATAAAATATCAAGTAAAATGTACAATGATTACAAGCAAAGATGGATAGTGGCTAGCAGTGGAATCCAGGATGCGCGTTTCGTCCTATTTGGGACCCGTCAGCTGGATGAACCTACATCTCAGACTTGATGCTCACTCTGGGACTCAGACCCAGTACCGTTCGCTTCAAATGCCATAGCGTTATCCACTTAGCTACAGAGTCCTGATAGTGCACAATGATTTACGATATTAAAAACAAACAAATCAGAACATTCATTAGTATTTGCACATATAATCCGGTACGAACATGATTTTCTTGTATAAAATATCTTTACCAATCTACTGAAAACAATTAAAGATTTTATTGAGAACACAGAAACCCAAGTTAAGCAACCAATGAAATCTAGGAGGCATTGGATAGCTGTTACGTCCCAGAATGGGACTCCTTGGCAATGTGCATTCACGATCTTGCCAGGGATTGAACCAAGGTCCTTAGTTCTCATGGCTGAGTCCCATACTCGAATTAAACAGATGTCCAGTGATTCCTGATTTTTCATGGTTGCTCAACTTAGGTTGGTTCGTGATCTCAATAATATCTAACAATCTTCACTAGATCCTGTACTGATAATAATAACTTCAACATGTAACTGGCTGTTTCCTGGTTAATACAATTCCAGACCAATATTTGATTTCTGTAGTGCTGGTTTCTTTTGTGTTGACATGAAAGTTAGACAACATAAACGTTTTCAGTAGTTAGCACAAAACAAGATTAGAATAACCAGTAAAAACGACTTAAAATTGCCAGCCAAAGATCATACACACCGTCTACTGAGAAATATATATGGTCGGATGGTTCGATAATAAAATCGCCGAGTGAAGACAGTATGGAATTTATTGAGGTATGAAAACCAGAAGCATAAAAATGCACTCTTAATCATGAGCGATGTAAGAACCTGTTATCAATACGTATTTGTACAAGTTGCTATGAATCATCAACACAACAATCTGAGATTGAGATCAATATCGGGACAGAGGAAGTAGAAGTGACACCATTGACACTAAAAATAACTTTAAAATTTTAACTACTCCTAGCAAAAGCTTATTTTCCGTAAAATATTTGTTTTGGTTTACATACATTATTATTACGTCTAAAAATAATACTGGTAAGTTCTGGGTACAAAGTGCGCGTATGATAACTAACTACGTTTACCAAAAATCGTTTTTCTAACGAGTAACGACAATATGAACCTTCACAAAAACAAGAATTGATTCGTTGTTTCCAGTCTCCTAAAATCATGCAAAGAATTTAGTAAAGATTAAAATTTTTTCACAATGGTGGAGATTTGTAGATCAGTGAGATGATTTTGTTGAAGTTTTGTTAAAGCTCAGAGAACAACAAAATGTTTCAAAAAGATATGTAAATGTAGAAAGGAGACTGTAGAATAATAAGACATTTAAAGCCCGGAGGAAATAAAGCTTCCCCTCTAAAACCTGACATGAGATAAATTAAATATTGCTTTGAAGTTTATTCTTTGGAAGACTCTACAAAAAGATACACATCCAGCTTCACCCTGGGATCTTCGCGCATCTTACAGACTTTCAGCTTAGAGTGGGACAAAATTTTGTCTAAAGCAAATATAAGTTCAAAGCTCTTAAAACACACTTATAATTTTCATTTAAAATATTTTGAATACCAGGACTCTAAACAATAAGATATATTTTTGAGTTAGATATCAATAAAAATTTGAAAGATTTCTAGAGACTTACTTTTCAGGTTTTAGGTCTCTGTAAACTATCCCATGACTATGTAAATAGTTGAGAGCCAATGCAATTTCAGCCAAATAGAATTTCACATCGTCTTCTGTAAACATGTACTTTACGGTAACGTAGAATAATGGAAACTTGAAGTTACCTCTTTGGACAAGCGGGAGAAAAGATCCCCTCCCCTTAAAAATTCCAGGATAAGATACACCTTTCCCTCAGTTTGAAAAGCTAAGGTAGTCAAATTAAACGGATGAGCATACCATAATGCAAATCAACAATGTATGGATGCTTAATTCTAGTTAAAATATCTCTTTCTAGCTTTGTCCTCAATCTATCGCGAACTGCGAGTTCAGTCGAAATACCTATATTTCAAACCTTTCAAAACAGCCTTCTTTAGTACTTTCATTGCATACAAAGTTCCTTTATCATTTCCATTGTTTTTCCTCACAAGAAATACCTGTAGTAAATATAAGATTGTTGAGAACGACAATACCTTCCCAAAAGACCCTTGACCAATGACGTAAAGCAGATCAAAACATGATGGATCGACTTTTTCTGTATTGTGGGCTAGTTTTTCAATATTCACTTCAACCTCGGCAACATCGACCTAATACTGCCTAAGAATTAAAGAAATACAAACCTTTTGACAACCAACATCCGGTGCGTCATCTATAGATATGCACTTTAACTATTCATAATGACAGTAATCTAAAAAACATACCTCATTCGTGACATCGCTTGCCTTCAGGAATGGTTGACCAAGATGTGCAAGCGGCATCTCATTGATTACACCTTCGAAAAAGCGCACAAATTATTCCGAATATATTTTACTATTGAACTATGAAAAATCTTCAAATTTTAAGAAACAGGTTTACTATCGTCAGACTTTGATTGATCTATATAAAGTTTTCTTCTAGAATAAAAAAGACTTTTTCATTATCCTGACAATCTTTTAAAGCTACCAAATTTGACGACCGCAGAATCTAATCGAAACTATTAGCAAATTGTAACTACTGACTAACATACTATAGTACTTTTTTGATGTTCATGTCTTTCTGTGTCTTTTTCGTATTAAGGGCCAAAGAACTCAAACTTTGGATTAATATTATGAGGAAGTCATTAGTTACAAAATATATCACAAACTCAACTCCGCTTATAATTTCATACTAGGAAGTTCGCAAACGGAAAGCTCTCAAACTGATCAAGACTTTGTTTAAAGATCATTAACTTTAGTTCCTCCTCTCTAAAGCCAAATACTTTACTTTGATTAATAAGCGGGTAAGATAGTGCGACTGCTCGTAAATGAAATCATGCAATTTGGCTTGCATACGATGTGTAGATTCATCAGTTAATACGCACCTGCCTCTTCACCATAGTTTAAATGCATTGCTTTTAAGTTTGAGATCACGTCACAACCGATTATTTCGTCCTACTGCAGAGAAATGTAGCTTCGAAAGTCTTACAAGGAGAAACGGTTTGTTTAAATAACTCATAGTTGACTCAGCACGGTAGAAAACCAGCTTCCATAGTTTTCGCTCACGTGAAACATGTTATGGCATGCATCGTTGTGTCGGCAGTTCTCGGTTTGATGCTGGCTTCCGCGCATCTTGAATGGTTTCAGTTCGTGCTTTGTAGCATTAATTTTAGAACTTATGCTTCGTTTGTAAGATTTTTATGTCAGCTTTATTCATGTCTTCCAAGTCAACTAAGCCTGACATAATTATGGTTTCATTGCGTAAACACGTCCACGCTGATCTGTCTTGAAAATCAGAACTGGGTTTATCATCTTGAGAATGAAACAATGATTTAATAAAATCGTTGTACGAGTTAATGTTAATATCTTACAATCATTTGTAAAATGATAAAAAGTTACCTAGGTGATAAATAAAGAATATGTTTGTTATAACCCAATGAGTAGAAAAATTAGATTTTCTGATGTTCCGTGACTTAGTTTGAGCCACTTCTTCAGGGAATTAATAATAACCTGGGTGAAATTTCGCCTGCAAGTTTTTATAATTTCAACCGTATTACATCATTAAACTCAATTAGAGCTCGTTAGCTTATACAGAAAGATGTAGCTCTGAAAACCTTTTATCAGTTACTATTGAGTTAACGATAGCAGGCAGTAGCAATAAATATTCACGTTTATTAAGCACCACAGAAGCTTGGGAATTTCATACGGTTTCAGTTGTGGTTAGTCAAACTTGTTATCAACGGACTGGGAAAATGGTTTAAAAGCTCAGTTCGTCAATGTTGCTGTGAATCACCACGAAAATTTATAGGAATAAATAGTTCTTCGCACGGAAAATCGAATGCACTGTGTAAACTGAAGTATGCAATCCGAAAGTTAACTTATTCAGTGAGACATATAAGTAAGGATTTACTTGATTTCACAAGGCCAGTGATTAAATAGAAACCCTGGGTAAGAGTGACCATACAGATCAAATTCTGGCTTTACATATAAATGTCAACAACAATATGTCATTTAAAGCCAATACAAACGTTTGGAAAGCACATTTTTAGAAATCAAAATTTGGAGCTTCAGAATGATCTTCAAAAGTTTCGTGAACGGTCTAGAATTTTACAGCGCTCAATTAGTACCTGAAAATGGATTATCATGATTTTTGTCATGTTACGTACACAGAACACAATGAATAACATCTAGCTGTCTGTTGTAGAGCTTTTAGACATTTCGACGCTGAAGCCAAAACTGGAGTTTCCTAGCTACTAGGTACTAATGGTTCGACCAACAGCTACAGTAACACCGGTAACCTTCTAGCAGAACAGTCCTCTTGGATATTTCAACCGACCCACATTAACCACATTGGTGAAAGCTTCATCTAAAACTCCAAAGGACTTTCCAAAGTGAATCTGAGTGCTGACTTGGTGTACCGTAAACTGCAGAATATAAGAAAAAGACACTTCTCCTGGTCCGGGTATGGTTCATTTTGCTATACTGAGGGATGCATCTTCAATACTGACAACACCGCTTAGCATGATCTTCTAACATTCGCAATGGTGAGGAACATTAACGGAAATTTGGAAGCACGCTCATATCGCAGCGATTTTCAAGGGAAGCCGACTCATCGAAACTTCAACCTACGCACCGGAGGCCCTTCTATCTATACCCTCAAAAATTATGGGGTCCCTGGTATGCAACGGTATACACGACTATTTATCATCCCTAAACTTCTTTTCACCCCAACATCACGGTCTCAGGAAGGGACATTCTTCTACAGTCAACCTGCTGACTGTGGTGGACGGATGGACAACCATCCTTGATCGCACGGAGAAGGTTGACATCATTTACCTTGACCTCTAAAAAGCTTTTAATAGGGTTAACAATATATGTTTTATGAACAAGCTCAAACGACTAAGTATCAACTCGCTTTTAACTGATTGGCTTACTTCGTGTCCAAAAGATCGACATTTTAAGATCAGGGTTAACTTCACTTTTTCTTAAGCTATGAAATGTATTAGTGGGGTTCCCCAGGATTCAATACTAGAACCTCTACTTTTCTTGACTTATATAAACAATCTTCCACAACGGGTATCTTCAGACTTGGGCAGATAACTACGAACTTACCTTTAACACTTCAAACTGTAAAGTAATCGACCTGAGACATGTTGCAGATTACAGATACAACCTAGGCGACTTCTCTCTAGAAGCATCCCAAGTTGAAAACATTTAGGGGTGCTGGAACACTACGACTTGAATTCTTACTCTAACTTTGAAAAAATTGCTTTTCGGAAAAACTTTGCACTGGTAACATCAAAGCGCTTTTTTGGCCAGTTTGATGGAAGAACGCTCCGCATAATCTTCAATAGTTTTATTTGTCGCCATTTAGTGTATGGAAACATAGTATTACCTCCCTCACTCCAAAATATAAGGACACTCTGTAACCTATAGGTTCAGGGTCTCAAATTCAGGACTTATGCGGAGAGCCTCCAGTCACCAAATCTTTACCCATCACAGTATAGACGTATTAGAGGTGACCTAATGGCTTACAGCATCCTAAATACTCCTGGACATCATCTTAAACATTTACGTAATTTTATCTCCAACACAAATCTAAGGGGTAACTTCTAGAAACTGAAGAACCGACAGAGCAGAACGGACTGTAGACAAAACTGCTACTCCCTAAGAGTAGTCAAATGCCGGAATCTGCTGCCGACTGAGATGGACTAAGCGACTTCTCAGGAGTCCTTTATGAGAAAACTGGACATATTCTTAAGGACTAAGGATGATATTTCACTATGACGTACCAATTTCTTTTTCCCCTTTTATCGAGAATACACCTACGTTTCTGCCTACAGGTTCCTGTCCGTTAGGCAAAGGCTTCTTCTATTCCGTCCAGAACCATTTGAACCATTTAATTTTCCATACCTCGTTCGCTCATCTTAATCTAGAGTAAGTTGTCAGGAAAAAGGTCAAAAGCCTCCAACTAATTTAATTCCTGGAATCACACGGCTCCCAAATAATGAGCGACTGGCATATCAAAATAAATTTCCATTGTCATACAGAGAAATAGCGGTGACTTTGTGGAATTATGGCCTATTTCAATATTGGTACATTTATTTCTCCGTAATGACAGACCTGACCCCAAAATTGTAGTTTTGCTATGATATGACTATCTAATCCATAGGATCTCACGTGGAGGTTAAATCATTGTTTACACTGAATAGCATTATGCGATATTCAGCACTTCCGAAGAACATATTTCGGAGAGTGATATATTGGATAAAAATAAGAGGTTACGTGAAGTGACCACGCCTACATAGCTGAGTCATACTATTTCGATTAACTGTTCCCGCGTTCACCATCATGTGCATTTTTTCGGTTATCTCATGTTCAGCTTCAACGATCGCAGGGTTAGAATCAACGCCACTATAGGCAAAACCTCGGTTCAGTATGAACACCCTGTCATCCGTTCCGTATTATACGCACACATGATCCACTTATTTAAACCACATCACTATTTTTTGCGCAAAAATAAGAATCAGTTGTCCAACTAATGGAAGTGAAAGCTTAGGTGCTCTGTGTTTATTGCGTCTGGTCGCAGATATCCGGTATTTCGTGCTCTCTCTTGTTGACGTTGTGGCATTTATTTCGTACACATTCAACGCACATTTGCGTAAAAATCACTTTTCAGTACATGTCATTTTAAACGACGATCCAATGGTTCAGCACGATTAATCATGTTTTTGTCCTGTGTTCGCATGTGGTCACTGAAAGTTGTGACCCACGTAGTCTTTTTATTGAGCGGATTCCAGTCAAGAGTCCATCTCTGGATAAAAATCCTCTTAGTTCACTTCTTCTATTCAAGGAACTGCAGAACTTCACTCGAGTGCCTCAGCCTGAAATATAACTGTACATATTTATCTCTAAACATTTGTGCTTTCATTATCTTTATATCAGCTATAGCGACTTCATAGCCAGTTTATTCTCTAACACATCCGACCACCTGAATTATACAAGCCTTGAAAGCCAATAGTCTCGTTAACAGATCACATGTCATCCACGAATTTTCACAAGGGTGGGTATGTGTCTTCTGGCATGACGTTTTTACGTAATCATCCTGTTGTAGAACCACGTAAAATATTAGCCATCACCTCAGAAAATTAGCACCAAAACGTCGTTTTAAATTCGTAGTTCTCATGGTTTATTAGTTATTACTAAATTTTGTGGTCTACGTTTTCGACTGTACGTACACGTGTAAACAAAAAACATATTTGAATCTAGTGTCGCATAACGAGCAACTTCCATTATATGGATTGCACTGCATATCGTGTGTGCATTTAGTCTAAAACTTATATGAATATATTTATCCCACGTCCTATAATTCATTCAATGGTGTTT